CCTAATAAACTGGCCGGGGAGTGTATATATAAATATACCATGGTGATAAAAATCTACACCAGGTTTTCAACACAACCTTAGTGCTCAAACACGAGGACATGCCAGGTTCAAACCCAGTCCTTATTTTTCTACCAGCCCACCTATTATCTGTGCTGACAGCAGCACCTGAGCCAGCTACCGATCATTACCAGAAATAAAACCGCGTGAACGCAACAAGTGCCAAATAGAAAACTGCAGGAGTAGAAGCTGTATTTTAAACTGTTTCTGGGCAGTTAGAGCAACTTTAGAGATATCAGAGAAAAAAGAACTTAGTTCAGACGGAGATGAACAGCAGCAGAACTTAGCAGTCAAACCAGGAAGTGAACGTGATAAGGCTTACCAACTGCAAAACATCAAAAATCTGATTCTACCCACCAGTAGCTGTTTGACTGGTTTGTTGCACAGGGAGGACAAACTGCAGAGAAATATTACCATGAGTGGTGTGCATAGTCTAAGTGGTGAAGATGAGTGAACAACATGGCTCTTTTTCCTCTTCCTGTAGAACTAACTGCATAAGTCGCAGTGAGTGAGCCCTTGTCCAATGTCTAATACTTCCACTGCTGACAAACACTAGTGGGTAATGGACCCACTGGAGTCGTGTCCCTGATGTTTATCAGCTCCTCTATACTGAAAGAGCTCCAGAATTATGTCAGAAAATGGCATATATGACAAAAAACCAAACCTGGATGTACCGCCTCACTAAATAACAGCTTTTAAAAAAGTCTGTAATGAGGGAGATTTGCAAACAGCAGGTAACAGAGTCAGGTTGGTTTATTCAGGGGTTGTTTAAAAATGAATCAAAAATGAAAATAAACGGGAATATAGAGCATAGCAAAGTTTTATTCACACATGAAAAACAGCCAATCAAATTTTATTACCTAAAAGAGCATTTATCTCAACAACTGTTCAAAATGCTAAACCACGTTGGTTCAAAGTCTTTACATCATGGTTTAATCAGCTCAAAGTGGTTTGTTTTTATAGCTCCAATATTATTATCATTTATTGGTACCAATTGACCCAGAGCTGCGTGCTGAAGGAGACCAGCCTCTTGTGCCGTCGCTTCTTTCTTGATGCTAAATATTTGTGCTTCCATCCGCTGGTTGTACTCCTCAAACCTTTATGGCAGGACGACAATCTTTTTCTCCAGCTTCTGCTCTGGGAAGATGAACCTCCTCATCACCTCGTCCAGCTCCTCCAGAGCCAGCTGGGCCTGGAGCACAGCCACCTCATCTGGGTCTGAATGAGCCACCCACTTCAGGGCCCGGTACAGGTCCAGGAGAACATCGCTGAGAACCTGCAGGAGGTGGAAAGATGGGTCACATCATAACCATGAAGAACATCTCCATGCTGTCACCAAAGAACACCTGCAGAAATCCTTTCTACCACCATCCATCCATCCATCCATCCATCCATCCATCCATCCATCCATCCATCCTTCCTTCCTTCCTTCCTTCCTTCCTTCCTTCCTTCCTTCCTTCAAGAGTGGGGGAACTTTGGAATTTTCTTTTTTAGCTTTGTATGTTGTTTTTTTAAACATTTTTTACCATCACTCTCCATCTTCACAGATGTCCAACAATTGTCTTGACTCATACGTATCAGAACATTTAAAAATAAATGCATTAAAATAACTCGAAATCTCAGCAAAGGCTTTTTAAAGAAAATTAGAGATGAAATGTTGACAAATTGACCATTTGTAGGGATTTCTCTTCATCTCGGCCTTAGCTAAGATGCCTTTAAATGGAGGAACCTCAAAGCCAGACAATTACAGACATTTAACTGTAGTCTATGACAGATTTCCCTTAGTTCCAAGTAAACACTTATTTTAAGGTGTGTCACGGGGTCCCAAGGGCCCCTCACTCTGACCATCATCAAACCTTTCAGCTGTGTGAAGAGCTGCAGGAGTCAAGTAGAGGCTGTTTTTAAGTTTCTGACCCCGGGGCAGGAGACTCAAAGGCAACACAAACACACCTGAGAGACCACCAGGTGCTAAATTACAAACTGCAGGGTTTTAGGAAATATCCATCAAGTGGAGGAGCTGCTTTATAATTCTACAGAACAAAAATCTTCTGTTTTACCTCCAAACATGAAGCATCAAATTAGGTCAGCAAGTCAAAGTTCAGTCAATGTAGTTTTTAAAGGTAGACTTGGTATTTTAATGTATTGGCAAAGATTGCAAGGGGAAGAAGGACTTTTTTCTTCTGCAAAGCCTTTTAAAGGTATTTTAATATTCTATCATTGTTCCAAACTTTAGCAATGTATTTTTTTTTGGACAGAAAATAGTTTATAAATGATAAATTCAATTTTTTTTTATTACCTCTTCCTTCTCCATTTTAGCAGTTGTGCTATATTTGGTATGTAAGTTTTCTAATTTTCTTCTATTTCAATTAAATTCAGTTTATTTCCATAACACCACTTCACATAGACAATTTCACCACATCAAAGTTTTCTATCCAAGCAAAACCAGCTGATTGCATCGACTCATTAACTCTACAGCAATCCCACACACTAAGCATGCTTGTAGCGACAGTGGAGAGAAAAACTCCCTTTTAAAGGAAGAAACCTCCAGCAGAACCAGGCTCAG